AATGTTCTCCATATTTTATCACTGTTTACATGTACAGTGTACTTTGTCAGCATCGTCGCAAAAACAACAATGATCGATCCACAATACCACTACTGTATTGGAATAAACAAGGGGCGGGGCTAACTGGCGGTGAGATTAAAGCGAGGTCCGCTTCACGCATCAGTGCGTAAAGCGGTCCCAGGAAGCGAACGCCGGGTTCGCTCTAGCGGACCCAGAGCTGACCCCGAGCGAACGCGGAGCGAACCCGGAGCGATCCCAAAGCGAACCCGTAGCGGTCCCAAAATTTCTGAAAGCGAACCCGAAGCGGACCCCGAGCGAACCCGGGAAGCGAACCCGGGGTCCGCTCCGGGTTCGCTCTGGTGTTAGGTTGTGTCAGGTCGGTACTGTAGAAGAATTCTTCACCATGAAGAATCAATTCTTCGAAAGAAATGGAAGCATTTGATTGGCTGAATAAGTAGGTTATGTTCTAAAGCGAACAACCCTCGTATATTTTAAAAAGATAGATTTGATTCAGGTTTTTACTTAGCTAAATTCCATGCATCATTGATAATCTGCGCTCTGTTAATTGGATGAATAACCTAAAATAAGACCAGAAATTTAATCAGACATTTTTTGTTGAAAAATAATGGTGTAAAGTACTTGGAAAACTGTTAAGAAGTAACAGATTAATATGAAATTAGATATTTGTTTTATATTGTGTAACAGACTCATTTTTGAGGCTGGGAAAACAAGCAAGACATCTTAAAGAAACTAGAGTTGTTTCTTCACCTTATGGTCCTTGTCCAATTGCTGAATAAGTTTATTCCAGTTCTCTTCGCTATAAGTCACGCGATAATACCCATATTGCATCACATTGCCAATTATCCAGTCAGATTGCTGTATATTTGAAGATATTACTTCTAGAAAGATAGGATAAAAAAGTGATTAATTATAAGAGATAACAATAACATCCATATCATATGTTTAACTGAATTCATTTATTTAAATCCAAAGGAGAATGATTAAGATAAAAAAAAGTTTGTGAGGTTGTTAATATCTGGTGGCTTCATATAAATATAATTGTAAATACACAAACACGACAAAAACTTAAGAAGGAATTGGGTTTCAATGTAAGATTACGTAATTCATAAAATCATATGAAAAATGCTATAAGCAATATTTAAACTCAAACCTTGATCCGTCTTATGCATCCAGTGAATGTTATTATCAGTTTGATTAAAGTTTAGATTCGACTTAGTTGTATAAGTAAATGGTATTTCCCATTTGTAGCTGTAATTAAAATATAAACTGTTTGTATAAATGATCATTTAAAAGAAAATTTACAATGTACATTTATAAATATATATCAATATTTAAACAAAACAATTAATATAATATTTCTCTTTTCTTTCCTTACTTAAAAGGAGAAACATATTTCCCAGGATCCACTGCGCCGTAATCTCTAAGATATCTTTTCTGTGTGACACGGATGTTTCCGTCCGCTATGACAGTTACATTGACGACTGGGAAATTCATTTGGAGTGTCCAAGTGTCCATAATATCCTTCACATTAACATTCTTTTGTTCTATAGCTGATTGCTGAAAGCAAAGTTTTTTTTTTTTACTGACATATGATGAAACTCTCTGAAACTGAATGGTTACTGAAAGGTATGGAAATGTGAATGTATGGCAAAGTAGGGTTATTCAGTCAACTTTCAGTACACTGTAAGTAAATTAAATACCAGTTTTACCCTTTGTTAATGTTATTTTCAATATAAAACAAAACATACATTGTAGGTACAATGGAAACAATAGAAATACAGTGATCAACTGCTGAAAACGAAATTTCTCAATGCCATAAGGAAAAGTTGGAAACTCAAAATAATCTTAATTATTTTGAAAATATTGCAGTAATAAAGGTGCATTAGAGTTTTATTATTATATACTATTATACTTACATTTCCAAGAGCATACCACAAGTCATCATGGAAGGCAGCCTTGTATTCCAATTTCTTCAGATACCTCTAGTTATTGAAAGAAAAAAAAAGATTTGAGAACCGAAAAATCTTTTTTCTTTACCTTATTTACCTTAACAATTCAGATTTAAGGGGGCTCTCTACAACGTCACAACATGGCGTACTTCCGTTGAAACGCCCTATTGGTCCCAAATGATCTGATTCAAATTCACTTAACACCGATAAATCACTGAGTATAACCCAATATGCGATATTGTGGATGGCATGTACATTGTATCACCTCAATTAATACAGTATATTGTCCAGTACGTATCCTTTCTTTAACATTGAATTGTTAGTCAACTTATTCAATTTCTACTTATTTAATTATTAAATAATATATTTACAAACTTACAAGAATAAGATTTTTAGGTGAGAAAAAATGATTTAAAAAAACATGGCTTGTCTATATGCTAATTCAACATTACGTGTCAAACGCCATATACTCAGAAATTTCTTTTTTCTTCAATAAACATGTATGCTTTCGAGCAAAATATATCCCCCTAAAATGCAAATTTGATACGATAAGACATATGTATTATCTTTCCATCGACTAGAGGATACTCTTTCACGATTTGTATACACCCGAATGAATGGTTTTACCTGGTGAAATTTAAACTCTTCATGAAATCACCAAAACGTTTGGACAGTAAGTGGGATTTTGCATGACCCAAACGTTTGATCAACATTGATCATCAGCTGTTTGTACGGGAAACGTGCAGGTTTTAGACGAAGTGTGAATTTGGTTTTAGGTATTTCTTTACCCGCTTTTGGCCAGTTACCATGTTGACATGTTTTGTTATATCTAGCACTGGATAACATATGCAAAATGGATAAAAACGGTACGTAAATCTACCTATCTCAATACCATGAATTCCCTTAATACATGTCTTTGTCATTGACTGGAAACGTAATGGTTTTCGCTTAAACTAATTTGAAAAACAATACATGTTCAATGTCCTTGCTTTTTCTCACTACTTGTGCAAGATATAGTAGAGTTTATTTGAAGTTTATTAAAAAAAACAGTACCAAGATATTTGAGCCCACGCTTGAAGCGGATCCCTCACACCTGGATTTGTGTGATGTTTATAATTTTTGACAGTTTTTTTAAATGTTGTTCAATTTCCTTTTTTCATTGTTTTTACTCTTTGATATTATATATCTTTTCAGATATTGGAGAAGATCCAACCAGCTATTCTCGACCAAGATTTTATTTTTAACTTTGTTGGTTATTATTTCAATATTTTATAACATTAAACTTTGAGGAGAAATTTAAAGCACTGGGCTTTTAAAAATATAGATAGGAGGGGTTTTAACAAAATAAATAAAATATTTTAAATATTTCTAAAAAATAAATTGAAATACTTTGGAACCTTATTTTATCATATATGGAGCCTATTATTAGAAACAAATGCATGCACCAAAAATCAGTTATACTTTATAGATGTAGAGATCCTCTTTAAACCTTGCTTTGGTTTTCAACCGGACATAACAATGAATTGTATATTCTTTTTTTAAAAAATACAATAAGATACAAATACAAATACAAGATACTGGCATACAAATAAGATACAAATATAAATACAAAAAATATCATTTTCCTTTACAAGAGCTTAACACCAGACCTTAAGACCATTTTTAAATGTTCCTTCACCAAGAAAAAACCTCATCATCCGAATAATGGAGGCACCCTGAAATGTAGAATAAAAGTATAATTAACATTATATATCAAAATTTATTGCCAAAAGTGCATAGAATTAAAATTTTCACTCGGTATGGTTTTTACAAAAATCCTGGACATAGTCAGCCAAATGCTTTCTTGAATCAGATTTAACAAAACGAACTTTATGTTTTTTATATAACAAAAACGAAAGAGAAGTGTAAGATTTGAAGTGTATTTTATTTTATATAAAAAAATCAATGTATTAGACGAACCTAATCATGGAGACAGTAAACAATCATTTGTATTTTTTTTTTCAAATTATACAGCGTTGTAAAAATGCATGATACAATCAATCAATTTTTTCAATTTTAAAGACAATAAAATTATTATATGTTACTGTCGTTAATCTCATAAAAATCATTAATTTTGTTGGAAGATTTTTCTAGTGTTTCCAATTCAAAACTTACATTTGTTATCTGAAAATGTATTCTCCATACACAATAAATCCTTAGTTTGCTCAACTGACCTTTCCATATGAAATTCTATCGAATATTTCATTGATCTCATCCGGGTGAGAGACAGGTACATAAACCGGATGTGACGTCACTAGTCCATCAAAGTTGAAAACATCTTGTACATCTTCCACAACAATTTGGTCAAACTATATGAAAAAGTGAAATATTTCAATTATTTTTATTTGAATATGTGAATGCCAATGTATAGTTAAAAAATATATATATAATACAGGAATAAAACAGTTTGTTAGTTTATACAGAAACATATAGAGCAGTGTATTTTAATGAAGAGGATAGACCTCTTTTCGGGAAAAAAATTATTTGACAAGAGAAAAAAGGAAATATGGCATTTTATCTAGCAACCACTGAGTTGAACTTTTAAAAATTAAATACATTCTCTCTCTCTCTCTCTCTCTCTCTCTCTCTCTCTCTCTCATATATATATATATATATATATAAAATCATCATCAGAATATTTTTTCAGGAAATCAACGAACCATTTTCCAGTCAGGATGAACGTAGTCTACTCCCATGTATTCTACGAAGCTTGCAAATCCTTCATTTAACCACAGATCGTCCCACCACGACGGGGTCACAAGATTACCAAACCACTGAAGAAATAATACAGTTTAAAATGTATCTCATAATGCAATACACACAACAAAAACGGTATGTGATAGATGAACAGGAGAGAAATATTTCCTTCCCGTCCTCATAAATATGTAACTAGACTTATAAAGCGCTTGCTTTCTTACTCATATCAATGTATCCTACACTTGTTGCCTGTTTCATACATAATATGACTTTTCTTTATCTTTGTACTCCAAAGTCCCCTCTTGAAGCTAACTAATTTTTGAATGAACCCTTCAAGAGTGGTATATTCTTTTTTAAATTCAAAATCAAGATCTCTAGAGCTTAAAGAAATGTTTTAAAAGCTAACATTATTTATCATTTAACCGGTCGGCAGGGGATGCTCACTCTTCCATGGCATCTGATCCCAACTCTAATATTTTTCTCCGCGTTTGCTCTGCTCCTATTTTGTATTGTTAAATAGACTTTCGAGTTTGAATACTGTTCGCTATCTTGATATATTTCAACTAAAGATAGCCTAAATTATGGTGAAACAAACCTGATGGGCCAGTTCGTGTGAGACAACGACCGCCACTCTTTGTTTATTGGATTCTGATGACTCGTACTTGTCATACAACATGGCGGTCTCTCTGTACGTAATCAGTCCCCAGTTCTCCATGGCGCCGGCAGCAAAGTCCGGAAGTGCTATCATATCTGCGTTGAATATATAAATAAAAAATATATAATTAAAATCAAAGATCAATTCACCTTCCCAAAATTTTAAATTCTTAAGCTTACTCTAAAACCTTTTATTAATTAATTATTTGGTAAAGTTATATTGTTTTATTTTTATCGTTGTGCTAGAAATCCGAATACTTTGTTCATCTAATAATTTCATGTTTAAGTTATTTGTTAAGTTTTAGTTATTTAATGTTCAGTGACAATAATTCTTCCCTTAAGGCTGGCTAACTGACTTTGAATCTTCTATTTGTCGATAAACTTCCGTATTCTAAAAGCGATATTTTGTCAATGAAGTCAAAACCAAAAAAAAACTGACTCTTTACCCATTTTATACCCAAATCTTAGCATACGAGATACATGTACAGATTAAGTCATATATAATCTACAGTGCATGGAAAAATATTTTTTTAAAGATCTTGTCTTAAAGATTTTTTTGCACAAGTCCATATCAAAATCCATGTTCAAATAGAGTTACCTTGCTTTGAATTTGTTCATGACACAAACATCAAAAACACTAAATCAAACAAATTGAGGATTTTTTTCTAATCGAATAAACATCAATGATAATGCATATTTCTCCTATGTTATCGCAATGTTATCCATTAGAATTATGCTTAATATTTAAAACAAAGAAACACTTATAACGCATTCCAAAATCAAAACAGAAAATCTTTTTTTCTGTTTTAAGCATTTTGCCCTTAGGTATTGAAAAAACTCAACAAATAACACAGTTCACAAGATATTTATTGGTGAATATCAAAAGTTTAAAGAACGCAAACCATCGTTTACATAGCTAGATTTTACGGAGTAAATTTCCTCCCAAAGACTATCACTGAAACAGTTTTCACTACCACATTACAATTTGAAAAAGGCAAAAATCTACAGGGTAAATTTCCTCTCAAAAATGACACTGATACAGGTAACATACAGTAGTCAATTCAAAAGCGACCATCCTTGTTATAACAAGATTTTACGGAGTAAATTTCCTCCCAAAGAATATCACTGATACAGTATTCACTACAACAATTACAATTTGAAAATAGCACAAAATCTACGGAGTAAATTTCCTCTCTAAATTCACATTGGTGCATTGTACATTCAGTATTTGAAAAAAGCCAAAGCAACCATCGTTTACATAGCTAGATTTTACGGAGTAAATCTCCTCCCAAAAACAATCACTGAAATAGTTTTCACTACCACATTACAATTTGAAAAAGGCAAAAATCTACAGGGTAAGTTTCCTCTCTAAATTAACATTGGTTCATTGCATATTCAGTATTTCAAAGCCAAAGAAACCATCGTTTACATAGCTATTACGGAGTAAATTTCCTCCCAAAGAATATCACTGATGCAGTGTTCACCACTACATTTCAAAATAGAAAAAAACTCTACAGAGTAAATTTCCTCCCTAAATTCACATTAGTGCATTGTACATTCAGTATTTCAAAGCCAAAGCAACCATCGTTTACATAGCTAGATTTTACGGAGTAAATTTCCTCCCAAAGAATATCACTGATACAGTGTTCACCACTACAAATACAATTTGAATATAGCAAAAATCTACTGAGTAAATTTTTTTTCTAAATTCACATTTGTTAATTGCACATTCAGTATTTCAAAGCAAAAGAAACCATCGTTTACACAGCTAGATTTTACGGAGTAAATTTCCTCCCAAAGAATATCACTGATACGGTGTTCACCACTACATTTCAAAATAGAAAAAATTCTACAGAGTAAATTTTCTCTCAAAATGCACGTCGGTGCATTGTACATTCAGTATTTCAAAGCCAAAGCAACCAACGGTTACACAGCTAGATTTTACTGAGTAAATTTCCTCCCAAAAACTATCACTGAAACAGTTTTCACTACCACATTAGTATTTGAAAAAGGCAAAAATCTACAGGGTAAATTTCCTCTCAAAAATGACACTGATACAGGTAACATACAGTAGTCAATTCAAAAGCGAATATCCTTGATATAACAAGATTTTACGGAGTAAATTTCCTCCCAAAGAATATCACTGATATAGTATTCACTACAACAACTACAATTTGAAAATAGCACAAAATCTACAGAGTAAATTTCCTCTCAAAATGCACGTCGGTGCATTGTACATTCAGTATTTCAAAGCCAAAGCAACCATCGTTTACACAGCTCGATTTTACGGAGTAAATTTCCTCCCAAAGACTATCACTGATATAGTGTTCACAACTACATTACAATATGAAAATAGCAAAAATCTAGAGAGTAAATTTCCTCTCAAAATGACATTCATACAGTAAACATACAGTAGTCAATTCAAAAGCAAATAGCCTTTATATAACAAAACTTTACAGGGCAAATTTCCTCCCAAAGAATTTCACTGATACAGTGTTCACTAATAACATTACAGTTTGGTAATAAAAATCTACAGAGTAAATTTCCTCTCTAAATTCACATTGGTGCAATGTACATTCATTGAAAGCCAAGGCAACCATAGTTTACATAGCTTGTAGATTTTACGGAGTAAATTTCCTCCCAAAGAATATCACTCATACAGTGTTTACTACTACAATTACAATTTGAAATTAGCAAAAGAGTAAGTGTCCTATCAAAAATGACATTGATACAGTGTATATTGGGTCTTTTAGATACCTTAACTTTACGGAGTAAATCCCTCCCCCCCCCAAAGTATAGCACTGATACACATGTACAGTTTTCAATATATCTATAAAACGTTAACATTTTCAAGTTAACAAAATCTACAGAGTAAATTTCCTCTCAAAAATGACATTGATGCAATGTACATTCAGTATTTGAAACCGAACCGTATTTGATTTTACCATAAATTTCCTCCCAAAGAATATCAGTGATACAGTGTTACCTACTAACATTTACAGTTTGAAAATAGAAAAAAAATCTAAAGGGTAAATTTCCTCTCTAAATTCACATTGGTTCATTGAACATTCAGTATTTCAAAGCCGAAGCAACCATCATTAACATACTAGATTTTACAGTCATTATTCGCAGTAAGAAAATAACATTATATATAGAAATCAGCAGAACATCAGAGGGTTAATTTCCTCTAAAAATAAATTGATACAATATACACTTTTTACCGAAAAGAAACATACATGTTACATCTTATTGAAAAAAAGGCTTTCGAGGGACATTTTTATCTCAATATACTAATGATGTAATACATTATTATTTAATCTATAAATAAACAACAATAATCTATAAAAACGCATACAGTTTTTTGACTGATTTCAAGCCGTATTCAACGAGCGGAGGGGGTTCAATGTGCATGCAGTAGCATGTTGACGTCACAAACAATATTTCAAAGTACGTTGAAAACTGTATTGTCCAGTCTATATCCGAGAAGGAAAAAATGGAGAAGGAGGCAAGTCCCTCTCTTGATTATTGTCGAACAATTTGATTTCAAACACATCCATCACATTTACTTTCTTTGACCGAAGCTCCACTTCTATGCTTTCCTTATGGCTGATACCATTGAACACTAGCTGAATGCATTTCCAACATGTCCAAAGGAAATCTGGCCGCCATATTTTGAACAAATCCATAGTTGACCTATTGATAAAATTTTTAGACTCGTAAATCATCTCATATAATTATTTTTAAACTTGCAATTTTTCAAAACCCATGGGCATTTATTTCTTTAGGCATGCCGGATTACATGTTGCGCACCACAGTCGAGCAGTGGTGCTTGCACAATTTTTGTAAAATCGAAAAATAGTCTTTCCGTTGGTTTTTCGTATGGAAATTTCATTCATCTAAAGAACACGTATATATACCCCCAGTCTACACACACATTTAGACAAACTAAGACAAGATAAATTTTATTTGAGGATGATGTCAATTTTCTCATATAAATCCAGATCATATACTTTTGCATTAAACACGATTTTGAATTCAGATTAGTTCAGACAGTACATTTGCAATTAAAACACTAATTACTAACGCCAAAAGGGGAGTTCAGAGAGGTAAATGATAACATGTACATGCAGGTAGTTTTACTACAGATAAAATGATCGCTAAAGTGTTTAGCATTTCACACAATAAAGAGAGCAACCACCTTGATCAAGGATCGAAATCCTCATGTAACTGTAGATAGGGATAGAATTAATATGCCAGACACTACCTTAATTACACTTATCGTTACATATACATAAAGAATTGTAAATTTACCTTTATTACTCAATGTTTGGTCTTTGTTTCGTTATTTCTCCATTCATCAGAAAACAGTCACTTTTATATCCAATCGTCACTTAAACCACTCCTGAAATAATTGCGATCACTTATTGAGGGGCAGTCTAACTTGGTTTTCTTTCTCTAACTTGCTTCGTGTTCTCTGCGGCTTTGAAATGCAAATATCCGATGCCGCCAATTTCAAAACTGCCTTTCACACAAATCATCATGTGGGGTAAATAACGGGAAACGGAAAAATAAACTGTTTTAACACAGAACTTGAAAACAAATTCATTGTTTTCAAGATAAATGAATTAATTAGCGTCAATAGGTTGTTGTGAGAGAAAATTGAGATGGTCTGTTTCTTATCATTTCATTATTTTCTTTTCCGGTGCGTGAATCCCCGCTGTTACATTTGTAATCAACCCCTTGTATTGGATAGAGCTGCGGCCATGTCATAATATTCTGACCTAAATCAAGCTGTAAGTTCACATTTATCACCATCAAAATCTAAGCCCGACAAAATCACAGGTCGCCCTATTTACATTTTGTTGATATGTAACATATACTCAGTACTCTGCTGCAATTGCATAAACATTATTTTCTCATGCAGCAGTAACCGAGATTGAGGTTTCAAAGATGTGATAAAAATCATGGACTGTTATTCTTTTTAGTTGATCTATCGACACTAACACCATGAGGTCAAAAAAGAGAAAAATAGACTTTAGAAAAAGCTAACGCAAAAGCAATACTGATAAAACTTGTTTTGAACTTTTAATTTTAAA